CTTATGAAAAGCAAAGAATTTGCTCATTTCATTTAATTTTTATTAGACAAGTCCAAGTGTGGAATCGTGGTACTAGAGTTTGGCATATATATATATATATATATATATATATAGACTATAGTACCCTCCATATTATAACGTATTTGAACAAATTGATTGAGGACCAAAACGGTTTGAACATTTGATTATCAAGTTCCACAAGAGTCAAAGAATTGGTCTGTCACGTCACCCTTCGACAAAGTAATTCGGACGTTAGTGTTACTCTATAGCATAACAAATAACGGAATCGTTCAAAAAAAAAAGGCTCAAAACTTAAAATAGTTCCATTGTTTTTTTAGTTCTTTGTGCAATGCTTGTATAATCGTCTAGAATTTAATTTTTACACCTAGAAAAGTCAAATATGACCTTTTTCTTTTTCTCTTTGGAACAACATATATTGGGTTTGAGCTCATTTCTAATGTGGATTCAAATTATTATTAGATTTAGACATCAATTATAGTATTAATTAAATTCCACCAATAAAAAAGAAAAATAAAAAAAAGGCATCTATTATTGTTTGTGTAATTAAAACATGGAGTTAAAAAAATATGAGAATGTAATTTTCGAGTCCAAGAGGTACATAAAAACAATTTCTTCATGTCCCCAGTGTCCTTTTTGTTCTATGTTGTCTTGTGCTAAATGGAACAACTTTATATCGAAAATACAACAACTTTAAATCGACAAAATAATATGTATGTAAATGTGATGAATTCTCAATATATTGCATGGGTGTTCTACCTTTAATATAAGCGCATACATATATGTGTTAAATTCTTGATTCAATGTTATTATACTGAAAAGGCATTGTAGTAATGAAATGAGTTTTGGTAATATCATGATAAAAACGGAATGAGTTTTGGTAATAACATGACGGAAATTGATGAGTAGGTGGTCACAATCTTGTTTGATCAATCGCACAAAAAATTGTATCGGTTACAACAATAACCAAAACAAGAAATTTATACTTTTGGATTACAAATTTACAACTAGGTGGAGGCTTTATCTCTAAGGTTCATAATTCAAAATTAATGAAAGTTATGGTCCCGTTAAAGGCCCCAAATAATACACGCTCTATCATTGAGCTAACACCACACCTACAAAAGAGTTTGGTTCATAAATTTGATATGTTACGAAAATAATTCAAAAGCGGGCTTTACATATACGGTTCACATGAATTTAAATTATGATTGGAAGTTAATATCATGCAAGAATAGGAATTTTCGTAAATTTGTCTAACAATGGCATCTTCAAAATAATAATAATAATGAAGTTGAGATTGATTGCTCTATTCATAACTCATTGATTGTATTGAGTCGAATTTTTTATTTATTTTAAATTTTTTTGTTTGAGTTGCGATATATAATATATTTTCCACTATAATAAAAATATTCACTTTATTAAATTCAAAATAGTGAAGAAAAATTGAAATATTTGACAAATAAGGCGTGTCCAGCTTGACAAACAACGCATTGTGCACGCCCCTACACTGGCAAAAATATGAAGAAATTAGAGACAACTTAGAAAATACAAAAATATATAATGCATGAAAAATAAAACGCACAATATGTAAACTCCTTCTCCAGTTGCCCCTACAATATATTGCTTTCCACGCACACAAATAACTTTATTTAAAGTGGGGGATCTTGACTTGCATTTGAGACTCAGACAAATGGCTGCGAAAATAAGGATGCGAAAGGGCCTCCAATTTGCTTTTCGGCTTTACCCTCTTTAAAAATAGGCCAGCCGTATACATCATCCATAAACACAATTTTTTTTTTTTTTTTTTTTTTTATATATACACACTATTTCATAATTGTGAATGACATTTTTTATAATCAATTTCAACCAAGATTCCCAGTCATGATATGACAATTACAATCACGAATGCGGTTATGGTATATTAAAATCGGATTTGTATCAGCATTATGTAATAGAATCAATTTAAACCAATAAAGAAACTCCATCTGTTCCCAAAAAAAAAATGTCATGCTTTTTTGTTTTGGTCTGTCCCAAAATAATTATTCACTTTACTTTTTCAAATAATATATTTTATATCTATTCATATATGTTCTTTAAAATTTTAAACTTGAATATAAGAACAAATTAGTAACTTTCAAATGAGATAAGGCATGTCCCACATGTCCCCTTAAAAATTCTTACTCTCCAAAAGTGACACCTAGGAGTATATAAATAATTTTGCAATCCAAATCTTTTAGAAGTTTGTAGTAACTATCAATCATATAGTCCACTCTTAATTCTCTTATGTCTTATAATTTATTAGATGATTCTTATTTTTCATTGATTTGCAATGGCTGAATTTTATTGGTTTTTTGAATTCTGATTAAATGTTTGTTGTTCAATTAGTAATTCTAAATGTATTAAGTTATTACAATTATGAATTTATTCACTTTAATTTTATAAGTGACAGAGAATAATAAATTAAAAGTTCTGAATATATTAGCAGCTTTGAATGTCTTGGTTAACTTGGTTTATTGTTGCTCATTTTGAATTTTAAAATATGAATACTTTTGTAACAGGAAAAGAAAATAGAGGAAAAAACAGAGAAAAAAAAAGGAATCATGGAACCGAACTGAATCACAATTTCGTTCTTTGGTTGAATGATTCGATTTAGTTCTAGATTTTCTATAACTGTTATGATTCGTTTGATTCCAAAAAACTTTCGAATTGATCCAAACCGAGCCGTATGCATCCCTAATTTTAGTAACTTTAATTGAATATTTTAAGACTATTTAACATAAAAATAAACATCACTGTCTAATAGAAGAGGTCATTGTAAGATCTTCTAACTTAAAATTTTTTATATTAAAAAGTAAAAAATAATTAAAAAAATTACATTAATGTAGTCCCTGCGGCCATGTAATATGTAATTTCAGCATCTGGAATAGATATTCATTGTGCTCAAGAATTTAAAATTTCATTTTAGTTGTGAAATTTCACAGCAAAATATTGAATTTTCTCACAAGTAAAAACTAGTAAAATTTTATTATTACATTAGTAAATTTCATTATTAAAGTGGATAAAATTTAAAGTATAAAACAACAATCATTTTGATAAGTGAGTGATACAGTACCTTTTGCGCCAATTCAAATTGAATTTGAACATAAATAATGTGCAACTTAAACTTAATACTAACCAACTTATATTTTACTTATTTACCAAAAAATAAACCTATATTATGATCAGTGATAATATCATTATCTTAAATATAATAATAATATGATCTTAAAGCAATCTTGTTCAAATTTTTATTCAAGTTTAATTAAAGGCGAATTCAAAAATTGTCAATAGAGTTGGTTAATAATTTTTTTTTTTTTGGTGAACTAATACTAGTAATATATATATATATATTCTGAAATGGGCTCAAGCCCACCCCTTAGATACACCCTTACACATTTAATGGACGAGAAAGTATATATTTTTCAGATGAACAAGAAAAATATTATTACTCCTTGTCCCATTTTGTAATTTTGTTATTTCATCACATAATTTGTTATGAATTTACAACTTCTATGAAAGTACTTGGATTCCTCCTTTTTCTTTTTTCATTTTTTTTCTTGTTTTTAAAAGAGAATTTATATATATATATACATATTATGGAGGAAAATTTTCTTACCAATGGCAAGACGCCAGGTGTACACCATTATATAAAGAAACCAGTCCAAAAAAACGTGAACGGAAAATGAAAGCCCAAAATCTTTTTTATATTTCATTTTTGAGTGTGACATACCGACCAAACATTATTGTTTGATCCGAAATTTTGTGCACATATGCTACTTGTCTATGACCAGCATATAATATTAATATGGTCAAACTTGTATTGAAGTTGTACATTTCACATTTGTTGAAGATATATTTTTGTCCAAATTCCTCCTAAACATTTGAAATATTTTAAAGTTGTATCAAACTTTTTGAAACACTTGTATCCATAGTTAGGTTGCTGCTGTATTCTCCATAGACACCGATGTTTTGCCTACTTATATATATATATATATATATATATATATATATATATATATATATATTTATGGTAATTATCACACATTTGTTCCACATCCATGATTCCAAGTATATGTATATGTAATTATCACTGTCTAATAGAAGAGGTCATTGTAAGATCTTCTAACTTAAAATTTTTTATATTATCATAAGTTAAATTATTGTAATTATTATGATTTTTTTAAAAATAAGGAGGGAAAGAGAAATAGCTCAAAAGTGATTTTCTTTATCATACTTACCAGAAAAAATATATATATATATATTTTTGTATAAATCTGATGTGTCACGATGGATTTATATAAAAAATTTGAATTATTTAATGTTAGCTCTAAAAGTTGTTTTATACCTTTTGTGTAAAAATATATCTCCCAATAACAATCAACCATGTGTCATGCCAGACCCCACATAACTTTTACAAACTTACTTAATATATGGTTGATTCTTTAATGAAATGAGAAGGAAGGATAGAAAAAGAAATATGTTGATTTGGCCGTGTAAAATGTTTATTACACAATCCTTTTACACAATAGTGATGTGACAATATATCTTAACAGAATTAACCAACCAACTATAATTAAGAATTAATCATTTATGTTCCTTACTTGATTTATCCGAGTGTAGCATGAGGCATTATTGGTTGTTCAAACAATATCATGTGACCACGTAATTGATGAGTGTTCACATAAGCACATAAAATTACATTAATTAATCCCACTGAAATCAATAACCAGCCAAATCCAGCCGCAATATATTCTTCCAAAGTGAGTCATCATTTATTTTCCCCAACGAATTTTCTAGTGAAACAAACAGACGCGTAAAAAAAAAAAAAATCTATCATTTCATTCAACGGCGGTCGAAAATCAAGAAAAGTCGTCCACAACTTCAACTATGGTCCATCAGCCGGCCTTGTGCTCGCCACGACGACTTTCTCATTTTCCCAAATTCCCTCATTTGACGGGCCAAGGTTATACTCCGTATATATCTCTCTACGTGTTGTGTATATATATAGTATGTATTTATAACTTCATTTCATTTCTATATCGCCCAATCGTAACAACCAGGCTCAATCAAACCTATCTCTCCAAAAACAGGCCACCAAAATCACCATTCCACCCTCCATTGGTGGTGGCACGTGCTTTTACACAACATTTTGATGGGTCAATCCTCCTCCACCCGGGGGTTCTCACCACCGGCCTCAACCCATCGCCACAGCACCTCCCTTCCGTCAACCGAAGCCATTACGGAATTTTCCGAGGGCATTATGGGAATTCAGGACTACATTTCCGAGCTCCCCGACGAATGTTTGGCTCTCATTTTCCAGTCACTCAGTTCCGGTGACCGCAGGCAAATCTCTCTCGTCAGCCGCCGGTGGCTGCGCGTGGAGGGCCAGAGCCGCTACCGCCTCTCTCTAAGTGCCAAGTCTGACCTCCTCCCTCACATTCCTTCCCTGTTCTCTCGATTCGATTCGGTGACCAAACTCTCTCTGAGATGTGACCGCCGATCCGTCAGCATAAACGACGACGCTTTTATCGTGATCTCGCTCCGGTGCCGAAATCTCACGCGCCTCAAGCTCCGCGGTTGCCGCGAGCTCACCGATCTCGGCCTGGCCGCTTTCGCGCAGAACTGCAAGGGTTTGAAGAAGTTATCGTGTGGATCCTGCACCTTCGGGGCCAAAGGTATGAACGCATTTTTCGAATACTGCTCGTCTCTCGAAGAACTCTCCGTCAAGCGCCTCCGAGGCATCAACGACGGCGCCGCGGCCGAGACGATCAATCCCGGCGCCGCCGCTTCGTCGCTGAAAGCTATATGCCTGAAGGAGCTTTACAATGGACAGTGCTTTGAACCTCTCATCAATGGATCAAAGAATTTAAAATCTCTGAAACTGTTTCGCTGCTTAGGCGATTGGGACAGACTCTTGGAAATGATAGGGAATCGAAAGAACTGTTTGGCTGAAATCCATTTGGAGAGGATTCAAGTGACCGATATTGGACTCACTGCGATATCGAATTGTTTGGATCTTGAGATTTTGCACCTTGTCAAGACACCGGAATGCACGAACACCGGAATTGTATCAGTCGCTGAACGCTGTAAGCTGTTGAGGAAGCTTCACATCGATGGTTGGAGGACGAACCGGATTGGCCACGACGGCCTGATGGCCATTGCTAAGCATTCGGCTAACCTTCAAGAACTGGTACTCATTGGGGTTAACCCTAGCCCCACAAGCGTGGAAGCACTCGCTGTGAATTGTCAAAAATTGGAAAGATTAGCACTTTGTGGTAGTGAGACAATTGGGGATCCAGAGATTTCGTGCATTGCTGCTAAATGCGTGGCTTTGAAGAAGCTTTGTATCAAAGGGTGTCCTGTTTCAAATGGAGGGATTGAGGCATTTGCTTGGGGCTGCCCTAATTTGGTGAAAATTAAGGTTAAAAAGTGCAGGGGAGTGAGTGGTGAAGCTGCAGATCGGTTGAGGGCAAAGAGGGGATCGTTGGCTATCAATTTGGAGGTCAGTGAGGTTGAGGCGGAAGCCGAAGCCGGGGATGGTAGTGATGGTGGAGCACATGAAGATGGTTTGGAGTTTCCACCAATGGTGAGCCAGGTAACTGGTGTTGCTGAAGCTCTTTCCAGCGGTAGCGTCCGGCCATCGTTGTTCAAGTCAAGATTTGGTTTTTTGATAGGCAGGGGTTTTGTGGCTTGCACTTTCAGGAGGTGGTCAAACAATAATGGTAACTTTGAATGATCTGAAAGTCTGAACGGATTTTCTTGTTTTTTCTTTTTTGTTTTTGTTGTCTTTTTACTCACAGGGCAGTTTGATTTTAAGATTATTATGTCTCTTTTATTGCCTCGCAAATGGAATCGCGGCAAAGAAAATATTATTTTGCCCTCCTGCTAAACCAATTCTGCTAATTTATTTCCATTCCTTCAATGTCTTGCTTTTGCTGCTGGTTCAGTCTGTTGTGTTCCTTCGATTGATTTTGCTTTGTTTATGTGCGAGCAATAGTTGAGAAGGATCAACTGTTGTCTCCTTTCGTCCAGATATGTATGGTGTTGGTTTCTAGATGAGTTAAAACATTTTGTATCACATTTCGAGCACAATTGCATGCACAATCTGTTGAATGAGTTTACGAGCAATATGTTCTTTCTTTTGCTGCAAGGATGTATTTTTTCTTTACATTTTATGGATGCGTTGGATCTTTCTTACTGAAGCCTTTTGGTAATTTGTCCAAAAGTGTACTGTTGATTGTTGAAGCAAGAAAAAGGATAGAAAAGCCTTTTGGTAATTCTACGCAGTTTCTTAGCATGTGATCAGTTTTGGTATGTAAATGATTGAAGAGATGATTGACCTGAGTTTTTTTTTTTCCTTAGGCTTTATTAAAATATTTTTCAGAAAATATCTTATTATTTTTTTTGTGTGTTTGGTTGTCATAATATATTTACCAAGAAAAAAAATCATAAAATTTAACAAAAATAATTTATTTATTAATTTTGGGCAAGTTATTTTACATAACCAGTATGGACTCAACTTCAATTGGATATAGACCTTTGTCAAACACCTAAAGAGTAAAAATAAAATAATATTTTACCTAAAAAATATATATTTTTTTTAAAAAAAATATTTTACCAGCGTTAATGTGATAATGTTTTCCAAATTTCTTTGTTCGAGTGTCTATCTGTATGTCATGGTAAAATTTGTGGTTTCCAAATGCAGGCGTTGTTTGAATTCAACTTCTTGGAGGTCTATTCTTTCTATGGTTATCCCCTCCCTGGGGCGCTGTCTGATTTCTGTACCCGTTAAGCCGTTGGAAATCAAGCATTTCGGCTGATACGAGTGCTACTCCTAAATGTTATTTGACTTTTTTATCATTTTTATTTAGTGAGAGGATGGTTCACGTCCATGAAATATAGTGCCTTTACTTATGAGAAGAAAATAAATGAAGATCTTTAGAGCAGGCGAAAAATATTCTCACACGCCCCGTCTCATGTGGGACTCGAATCAATCACCTCCCCCTTGGCGGAAAAAAAGTCATATCACGCGCCAATTCAGTTGAAACTGAATTACTTCGAATTTTGACTTTATTTACAGAGAGATATCAGCAGCTTAGCTGGGTGAGAGGCAAAACTATCCTGACAGCTGCTCCTTAACAATGTTTTTGGTTCATTTGACTTGACATTAACATTAGAATCTTCGTAACTCCAACACCATGGGGGGTAAGAGTTAGGTTCTGATCTTCCAGTGAGTGTTACAGTGGACTTTTATTATAGTGGGAAGCCAACTATGTGAAAGGGTTTGTATTTCTGATGTTACCCATCATCCATCAGTGGACTCCTACTAGGAGAAGCATTACATTTGCATTTTAAGATTGGACATGACTTTGTTGCCCCTGTGACACCACAACGTTTGGTGTTCAAGTGGGCAGACGTGCAAGTCATGTTTTCAAGTAGGAGCAAATATGTTGTTCTTGAATGCTCTTCGATATTTTAGACTGACACTTCCTGTTGCCCAGACAACCACCCACACTACAACCACAAACTAGCCAATGGCTTACATTAAAGGTCTAGAACGTTCCATGAAAATAATATCTCATATATAATATACGTATGTATACATTCTTATCAGAGTAGATTAGTTTAAACTTACGTAATCCCATTACACACTTATCATTACACAACAAATTTATTAATTGCCCAACGAAACAATCATTAGAAATTCTACAGTGTGTTATCTTAGCTTTGCCAAGTCATTCCACCGAAAATACAATCACAATGACATGTTTTCGCAATGAGGAACTCTTTATTACAAAGATGTGTTGTTTTTGCTAAACTCAACAAGTGAACACAACTCTATGCTTTCTATTTTCGAGATTGTGTATAAAACTAGGAGCATATTGGATACAAATTTCCCGGGAAGCAGCACTGCAGCGGGATTTGGTTGACACCCCTCTTTCATTGGACCAGTATATAGATCACCCAAACAAAAATTAAAGCAAAACTATGTGGAAAGAAAATTTTAAATTGCACACATCAACTGGCCCGCCCCACAGATGCTTTCCTATATGTACTTCCGTTCTAAATATATGCTCTCTTCGAATTTGTTGATGCTGAAGGATGGCAGTCTCCAAATTTAAGCAGCGGTATAATTTTCAAATGTCCTTGGCAAACAAGGTTTTAATTTTCTCCCGATTGCCTTGTGGAAACTCGTGTATCTACAGTGCTTGCTTCACGTTTTCTCTTACTTCGAGAACGTTTAGATCTTGGTGACCTCTTTGTAGCAGGCTTCTCAATGTTCTCTTGGACGGCAATCAGCTTTTCCGTGGAAGGGAGTTCAGGGGGCGTGTCCGGCCATGGTGTGTGTTTTGCCGGAACAGTAACCTCCAAAGGAGGATCAATTCTCCACCTGCACAATATAAAGCTAATACTCAAATGATATGCAGTGAAAAAGAAAAAAAAAGGTTCAGCTCAAACAAATTAAGAGCAGCTGATGGCTTCATTTATTGTTTCATGCTAAGACTTTATATTTTGATCAGAATCAATGGGCGACGACATGATAAGAGCTAAACATTGAACATATTCAAGTTCTGAATATATGTTCACCTCTGCACCCGTACCATTATGAAGACTTCTCAGATATGAGAGATCAAAATTTCCTAATAGCATGATGAATAAAGTTCAGATTGTAAATCTGGATTTTTTTGTTTATCAAAAGCAATGAAAGACCTTGACTTATGTATTCCATTAGAGTCCCGTGTTTTATTTCCATGATATCCAAGTAACATATTGGCAGTGTATCACAGAGCCACAAATTCTAAAGTTCATGTTCACCACATCCGGCTGTTTATTACTTCTGCCTATGTTAGTTGTATTTATGATAATGTCACGACACCAACCCCCTCCCCAAAACCAAAAAGAGAAAAAGGAGAGAGAATGGAATTATGAATAGCTGCTTCCTTTATTTGAATTTTGCATGGAACTGCTAAAATTATGGTAAAACATTAACAAAATTGCCTCATTGAATGGGTGTCATAGACTCATAGTATAGGTAAAGGTTCAATTTCTGGCCACCAAGCTGCCTCTGCTAAGTGCTTCTATGGCACAACTTTTAACCACTGGGAAGCCACAAGTGGGTCCAGCCAAAAAAAAAAAAATAAGCCAAATTTTGTCACAGAACTCCATGCACTGCTCACTCTTGTACTTTATGAAGTAAAATCTGTCTTGCCTCTTAAAGCAAACCCAATGAAAGACAGGCATTAATATACATAGATAGGAGTATGGCATATTGATTGATTGATTTATTTTCTTTGTTTATGGTAAAGAAATGGAATCAACCCATCATGGGTACAACATAGCGATCTTTTTGGCAATGTATTATGGTAACGCAATGGAATCAACCATTGTATTCTAACTCCTAAGATATCATATATATGGAGACATCAAGAAAATTCTAAGACAGCATGAATAACTACTATATGGAGACATAAAGAAATTAATGAAACAAAAAGCAAAGAGATCAAATGTTCACAACCAAAAAAATCCCTCCTGTTTGAAAGCATATATAAAGAAATCATCTGAATGCCGTTGGATGCAATCATATGTACGATAATTTTTAAATTTTTTTCCCCAAAGGTATAGGGTATGTGTACAACAAAGTTGGCTCATAAATATGCATTGAAGCTGTTCTCAGTGGATAAGCATGACCAGATACCACATATTGGCACATTCTTTAGCAATATCAGCTCTTTAAGTTTGTGAGATTAAAAGCTGTGCCATTTTAATAAGTCATTCTATGACATTAACCATGACTTGTATGAGTAACCTGGCTTCTAGTTAACCGGTGCTGACACATTCAACCTAGTGTTCGAACTTAATATAGAATATAGACCTTAGAATTTTACCAAAAACTTTTTCGAGGTATTGTTTCAATTTTCAACTAAAATTCATGCCGAAGCCGAAGTTTAAAAACCTTCAACAACTTCTCAAGGTGGTTAAAACTCTGTCATCATCACCTTTTTTTCTATATATTTTTTTGAATATGTCTAGTATCATGTAATACCCCTAATGGCATTTTAAATTTTAAATTATTTATTTTAATTGCATTTAATTCAATTATGTGGCTATTTGTTTATGTGGATTAATTTAATTGTAAATGTTTTAAATATTATTTAATTGATCATGTGATGTGATGTGCTTAATTGTCATTGGTTGTAGTTAGTTTAATTGTTTGTTCATTTTTAAAATGTTTATTTGATTTAGTTAATTGTGTTATTTATTTTATTTTTAAGCATGGGTTGGGATTGGACCAGCTAAATGGGTCTTGGACTATTTGGAAGGAATCCTAGATGGGTTTGGATCTTGGCCCATGAGGATTAAGGTTATAGGTGTGTGTATATATATATATATTATGTTTTACTATTAATATTATTATTATTATTACTTTTGGTTGTCAGACTTGTATTAGGTTTTTGGGGGGTTATATAGTAGTTATATAGATATATATATATATATATATATGTAGTGTATGTGTTGTGGGGGTTAGAAAACCGTGAGAGAGAGAGAGAGAGAGAGAGGGACCGCTAGAGAAAGAAGAAGAAAGGTGAAGGGGCTGTGCATGGGAGAACCACCATTCGGAGTAGACGGCGGCAACCCGAAGGCTGCCGGCATTGGAGAAGAAGAACAAAGAAGGAGGAGTTCGGTTTTCGATCCGAAAACCTAAGGCAAGTTCTTCGTTCTACTCTTCCCCTTTGATCTTATATTCTTTATATCCTTAGTATGACTTTACGAACTTAGAGTAGAAAGAATTAATCTGATAGCATGTTTAAATCGGACTAAAATAGAGGTGTGTGTGTGTGTGTGTATATATATATATATATATTTGTATATGTGTATGCTTTGTATGAATTTGCGAATTCATGAATTAGATCTATGTTTTTAATGAACCAAATCGTGTGTACTTGCTCTATAATAATGTTAGACATCAATTGGGACATAGATGCATGCTGTAGGACCCTTAAAGACGGATTTCCAGACTTAGAACAGACCTCCTGAGCTGTTTCCACAAAATAGGGCTCGAGCAATGTTTACAGGGCTTGAGCGCCATTTTCTGGAAAAAAGCGCTCGAGCACTGTTTGGACAATGCTCAAGTGCTGGGGAATGATTTTGCCCCGAAAGCTTTCCGATTAGCCCCGAATTGATTTATTAAGGTCCGAAACATGTTATACGATCTCGGGAACAGTAGTATTAGGATTATATGGCATGAAACTTAGACTTGCATTACAATACGTGGTTAAATAAACTATTAAGTTGTGAATTGATTATTTAAATTATTGGAACTTGGCAATTAAATGTTTTAGCATGAGTTATGATAATAATCATCTTAGTTGCTGAATGTATGAATGATCAAAATGTTTCATGGCTGTATTTCTGGTTGCCATGTTGTAAGGAAACATACTTTAATGACTTATAGGTTATTCCAATGATTTATTATTGTTTATTTGCTACAATAATTGCAATATATGATAGAATGATTTTATTCATGCTAGTGTCTGTATTGTATGATCTTATACACGATCTATCTCTGTTATTATGTGGGACCATTGTTAGGCTATGGTTCCCGTATTGATGTGTATAGGTGGACCGGCTAGTAAGTTGGATCCCTTTTAATTATGCCATTGTCAAGATATGACTATATTGTTTATTGTGCCATTGTCAGGATATGACTACAATATTATTATACATGGCCGCGCCATTGTCAGGATATGATTATGGTATTTTATATATGGTTGTGCCATTGTTAGGATATGGCTAGATATTTATATTATTTGCATACCATGATATGAGTTTAAGATCTCGTACCATCAGACTGAGACGTATATTGCCGGTTGAGATGGATAGCTGGATATAGGGATGTGTGTGCCCTGGTAGAAGGATGACTCATGACCACATTATGTGCGCTTTGCATGAGATACTCACTATTCGGTTGAGTCTGCCTTAGTCCAGTGAGGGTCTTTAGTGTGTGTATACATATCTATCGACTATGTAGATATTGCATGAGTTGGCTACGGATATATCGTTCATCAGGTCTCTGTTTGGGTTGTTGTAGAAAGGACTTGTTCGTGGGTTTTGACCTACCTTTGTTATATTTTTTCAGGTCCTCGTCAATAGTAGGATTAGAGGTTGCTCGTGCAGATCAGAGACTCATCTTCATCATTCTTTCGGTGTTATTGACATAGGAGTTCATCTTCGCTCAGTTGATTTAGTTCATGTATTTACTGTTCAGTAGACTTAGGCATTGATTTCAATATGAGATTTATTAGGGGCCCATGATATTTGGATTCCCGAGTTGTATGTTGGAGATTCATTATTTATCATCCGTAATTCTGTATCAGAGATTATTATATCTATTAATTTAGTTTTCTTTCAGCATTATATTTATTCTATTCTTTTATTCCCTCTTGTATTATGTGTTCGCTTATTACTCAATTGTTTTGTTATCCTCGGGTCTTCAGGTGTGGGCCTGGCCAACCTACACGTGAAAATTCGGGGGTATCACATATCATCAGTGAGATCCCAATATTCTTGGAAATATCATCTAGAATGGAGGTCTCCACCAACTATGTGACTAATATCCCCTCTTGATGATTCTCAGAACCTATGTACTAGTTGGTCACCCGGTGTCAGATATCAAAGACCCAAACCTTAACTCACCATGTTCTAGACAATTAGCACGTCGCTCCTTGATTCCAATTTCAGCATAATAGTATATATCATTCCAGCACTTTTAATGAGCATCTAAAGATTTCAAGGTCAAAGGCTACATATGTGGTCTGCATGTGCCAGTGTGCCTATGTGCATGTGTGTGCGCATATGGGAAGAAAGTGATGGTGGTGGAGGTCATTACAAACAAATACATTGCTTTCATGTATATTAAAAGGATCGGCATTTCAGAAGGCATGGCAAATTCATGGTGCACTGCTTGGCAAACCAAGATAGGGAGGTTAGTAGAGTTGAGTTTGGGATCACCAATGGTATTCGTTCACTCCATGAAATAACTTGACACTAGATATAAAAATTCTGAGAAAGCCTCTCATCAACTTGAAAATTGAAAGAGGAAGCTAATCTGCAGCGTCATATACCTTCTATGTAGCACGAACACAAATACGGGACACGGACACGATACGACACGGATACGTCAACACGTCAAATTTTAAAAAAGTAGGACATGATACGGCGTGGACATGGCTACATATAAATATAAATTTTTATTTTTATACATTTATTCAGTAATAGTATTATAAAACTTTAATTCATTTATAATTTATGTACTAAGAGTTGCAATGAAATGAATTAGAAAATGAAATTATGTCATTATTGTAATGAATTTTATATCATATATACCATTATTTCACTACTTTGTCACAATAGTATTCATATTATTTTCAAGATCACCAGGTAAACTTGAGTTAGAAATGTTCATGAAGTGTCGGCAAAGTATCTGAAATAATAAAATTAATTTTTTTTATGGACGCGTATATGAAGTGTCGGACACGTATTTGAGGAGTGTCCGAGGAGTGTCGGTGTCCGACATAGGTTCCAGCTCCTTCCTAGAAGTGTCTGTGCTTCCTAGTATACCTTATAAACTCTTTATTTTTATTTTGGTGGGGTTTAAGGGGGAGTTTACCACCACAAACCTTTTATCTAGTATAGATACACATCCATGCGTGTGCATTAAATTAGGTGTTTCTATATTTATATATGCACTTGCATGCATATGTACTTTTATATGCTGCCAATGCTATCAAATAAGTTGCACCAAAATATGACCACATTTTAGGGGATTTACTTCATAAGTTCATGACTTCCCAACTCACCCTGAGGTATAAAAATTTCAGCCCGTGCCTGAGCACAACCTGGGCAGATTTTTAGGAACTCAAGTCAGGCTCTGATGAGGCTTGGTTGATCAGGCATATCTAATAATTCATGGTTATTATATAATTATGGTAAGCTCTCTTATTACCTTCCTTCTATTACATAATTATTATTTCAAACCTAGTAAAGTGACTTGAACATAGAAGAGGAATGTTTTAATAATATGAATATTTAGTTGTGTCCCTATGTCCTTAGGTTTAGGGTTCAATAATTTTCACACTTGACACATATTGCCCTTGACATGCATAATGAGTCCATACTCCATGTAAGTTTAGTCATATGTACCCTTGCTTGTCAGTATGGAAAATAGCATGAACATTGAGAATGGATTTCTAGTCTTCTCCACCCTTTTTTTTTTTTTCGTTTTGTTTTGGAGAAAGCATCTCTGGTCTTTCCTCTTGCATTGTCATTGTTGGCTCTTAGTAAACTATAGTGGAGGTGGATGAGTGAGAGCTTGGACCAACCAATTATTAGTCCGTCAAGGATTTCTGAGGTCTGCAGTACACTGCCTTGCATGAAAGAGAGTACACTAAGGTGCATCAGCCTTGATTTAGTAACTAATCATTCATACTTCTATGTTTTAACCTCTCAAGTATCAAAAAATTTCTCACCTCATCAGTCTATTATTCCAAAGATAGTACACAGTCCTCTTTACTTTTTCTAGAAGGAGAATTCTTACTGTTAGTCGTCACAATCTACGACATTACTGGCTTCATCAGAAAAAATTGAAATCCAATGTTTGGACTATACTGTGGGACTTTGGCACCTTGATTTTGTTATTTGACTAACAACCTTAGACTCCTTGCTAAGCAATCGAAACAACTGCTTGTGCTAGTTGGGTTTGCAAACTTTTATTTAACCCGCCCAAGTTGTACACCTACCGGTAGACGAACATCGCTATTGTAAAAGATTCACCAAACAATCTGTTTAATACTACTAAGTTCACTATTATATGTCAACTTCTGAAAACCCAGTTTTATACAGTAGTATTTTAACCTTTTTAGACAATTCTCCACGACTGAAATGACATAGCAACAATAGAGCAACTGTCAATAATGAATACACATAACTACCATTAAGAAAAGAATTGTGCAGATTCCAGAAGACCATTATGACTACAGAAAATCAACATTATTATTAATGTCCCTTGTGTTAGAATCAAGAATCCAAGTAATAGGATTAGCATCATTAAGGAAGCAATATATGGACATAACAAGATATGGTAAGCAACTAACCCGGCAGGGAATTTGCTGTCTGCACGAGCTTCAACACGGAACCACCATAGCAAAACTTTGCGCCCACAACTCCCAAGAGGCTCTACCACTGAAGTGTCCTTGAGCAGAAATAATGGACTCTCTATATCCTCTCCATCTCCAGCTATCCCCGCAGTTAGATCCTTAACCCATTCGGGCTTATCAGCTTCCTTCCAGAGCAACCTGGAATTCAACACGAAGCCAGCCCATTCAAGCTTCCTTGGCAGCACAATCGCCCTGTCGCCAATATACTTGGCACTCTTCTCCACATATGGCAGTGAATTAAAGGTATGCCAACCAACCAACTTGTCTGATGAATTACACGCCGGACCTTGAATCGGATTAAGCAGGTTCTCCTCATCCTTCTTTTGAATTACTGATAAATCTTCATCAAAATTAGCTGAATGAGCAAGAATACCAACCGAAACAGCGCCAATCCATTTTACATTTTGGATCTCGTCAAAGAGCTCCACACCGTGCATATTACTATCATCCGCAAACATCACAATTCCATCCAGTTTTCGTTCTCTCACAACTCTGCTCCATATCATACCCTACTGAATCAAATTCAATTCTAGAAATAATCTTAAACAAAATGCACACAGAATTGAAGAAGAATAGAGCCATTATTAATTCACCTCAGAGCACGAAGTCGCATCTGAACCTCCATCTGGTGCCGGCCCTCCCATAAAATTGGCATCTTCTGGCCTAACCCAATGTGGATGGTCCGAAGCCCTGACTTGGCAAGCAAAGAAGCAGTCTCGTTGGTGGCTCCACCGGCTTCAACAACGATCCAGATGAGATTGTACGGAACATTCATCAACGAATGCATTACTCCAGTTAGATGTAGAGTCTGGAAAGTTCGCACATATGTGGGAGTGACAGCAATCACAGTTCTAGGATTCTTGACACCGTACTGAAACCTCTGTTCTCTCTGAACTCTCTCAATTATCCGATGAGCCTTCATTACCTCCTCCGGATTCGGATGCGGCCACGGCCGGATCAAGATCCCGTGCCGGCCGACCACAACTCTGCTTCCCGAAACGACGGTTCTGTTCACCGTCGATTCAGGATCTGGTAGCGAAGTTGAGGAAGAGTCTTCCGTGTGAACAGTTAGGGTTTCGGCGAGCTCTGCGGTGGTGCGGAATGGCGTCGGTAAATAGAAATTATTAGTGGTGGAGGTAGAGAAGAGTAGGAATAAGAGGAGGCGAGAGAATCTGAAGCCGAGGACAAGGCTGATGAGGCAGCAGAGGCCGTGGAGGATTAGCCAGAAGACAGTTGCCGGAGATTTGACGGCGCCGTCAGCTGACGAATCCAAAGGCGCAGATCCTCCTCTGAAGCTGTTGCTCCGGCGGTTGGCGTAGCTCTGCAATGCCGAGAGCTTCATTTTTCTTTTTTCTCTCTCTCTCCTCCGTTACAGAGAGAGTGCGTGTAATGTGTCTAGAGAGAGACAGCTGTAGTGAGCACTGAGAAAGCAATTGGTGAGTCCCTTTGAAGTTAGGGTGTTTGATTTGGTGTCTGTTAGAGAGAGAGATGGTGGTGGGTTTATGTGTTGTTTAATCAAATAGATTTCTTTGGGTTTACGAATGGCTTTGCTTATTTTTTTCGTCTTCACTTGGATGTAGAGAGAGAAAGAGAGGAGAGAGAAACATTGCCCCCTGTAATCAGATCACAGATAAATATTTGTGTTCGATTTCGGACATGAAGCTTGGTTTCCTGAGGCACACCAGAAAATCCAGAGTCTCAGGGGGGTTAATTTTGTAATTTAAATAAATAAATTTTTGGTCACAGCGACTAAAAAAGGCCATACAAAATCATTTGATGGACAAGAACTTTAAAAGGAATTAGAAATTTGAAGTGGTTCAGGCTCACCTAACACTAAACTTTGATGTGAGTTTAGGTCAACGGTCGATGAGAGAGGTGGGCCGTCAACTTTGTATCACAAAACCAGTGCAAAATTGTTTCACAATTTGATCAGGACATCCGAGCTTTCCAACTTGAGGATTTTCTTTCCTTTTTCTGCATTTTCTTGGGAAACAAATAGAGGGATGAAGCAATAAATGGCCATGCTGACCCTTGAATGTTTGAACACATGTAACGCTTGTTTTAATTAAAAAAGGATCCACCAACTGACTAGATTTGGATTTAAAGCGAAGGTTTTTTTTCTTCCAAAACTGAATTTTCACGAGTCTGTTTTGGGTCCAAATTAACTAGCCTCTGATTTATTTTCAGTTAATATTTGTGTGTGGGTAATTGTGTATATAGGCTGTTCTAGCTCGGACAAACACCCGCTTTCTTAAGACAGAATGTGAAAAAGCCAATGGGTTGGTTTGGCTGATTGATTAATATGAATCATTTATTATATTTTTAAGTTGGGATCGTGTAATTGTTGTCCTAAATTTGTTTAATTTAAATTTTGTACTAAATTTTTAACAATTCTAAATTCAAGGCATATGAGCTTTTGCTTCAGAGAATCAGAGTAACACAATTCTTCCACATTTTCTTAGTATTCATTTTCCCATTTTTCTATATTCAATGTTGCATTATCATTTTCACAAAACTATAATGTATATTATAACTTTGGATTTCAGGCCTATTCTTAGATTTCCAAAATTCTAAGAGGCCTTAGGCGAATTTTCAAATGCGAGACTCCTTAAACATAGTGTTTCACACTAACAAAAATTTATAAGTGCAAAATTTTCTTAAAATGAGACAATAACCGCAACATATATTCACATTATGTTTTTAATTTCTATAAGCAATACATTCAACCAGAACTTAACACAATAATATATTTGTGCGCTTGGGCATTATGCACAGGACAACTAACTAATTACTATAAATCTATCACTATCAACAAATAATTATACGTCATAAACTAACTAATAATAATAAATTTATCACCACCAACATAAGACTGTAACTTGGATCACATTTCTTAATGAAACACATACAACCAAAATGTTTTGATGTGTTATTAAAACAAAAGCCACATGTTAAATTTCAATTACCTAAAATAAATAAAGTTTCAGTCCAACCTCTAAAGGTCTCTCCACAAGAATTCCATAGATCTCTCTGGATAGTATTCCATATATCTACACATAGGTCCTAAATTCATTTTTGAGAATTTATGAAGATGTCCCCATTAAAATTACAATTTGCCTCAACTGATTTTTTATTTTTTATTTTTGTATTTTATACTTTAAATTTTTTAATATATATGAAGAAAACCTCATTAAAATTACAAAAATAGACCAACTGTCATACCCCCCAATTTCAAATACACGGGTTGATCAGGTTCGAGTACAAAACCAAGGGATATCAAATAATTAAGTAATAAACGAATACAAAATACAAGAGGATAAATAATAAATAAAAATTTCGCTGAAAAGAAATTTAAAATAATAATTAATTATTAAATCCCCTGAATAAATCCAATAAATAATAAACTCCCCTATCAACATAAACCTTCAAAGTACAACTTGGAAATCCGAACAGCATAAACCCCTAATAATAAACCAAACTATAAATAATAAATATTGTCTTAATCTAAACAATAAAGACAAAAAATAGAATCATACATCGATAACACCGGAAGAGTAATAATGACGGGTCTCTGCTATGCACGAACAAAGGTGGGTCAAAACTCACAAACAAGTCATTTCTATTACATCCCAAACAGAGACCTAATAAAACGATGCATCCCTAGTCAAACTCATGCAATAGCTACGTAGTTGATATACATATATATACACATTAAAGACTCTCACTGAACTATAGGGCAGACTCAACCGGATAGTAGGTCTCATGAAAATTGCAAACAAGGTGGTCATAAGTCCCTCTTCTACCAATGCACACACAATCCTCCATATCCAACCATCCATCTCAAAAGACAATATACGCCTCAGTACGTCCTAACCACTGATTCCGAACCCTCAAACTCGTATCATAGTATATACATACATATCTACCCACATCCTGACAGTGGCACACCAAATATAAAATACTGAAACCATATCCTGGCAATGACACGACAACACATAAATATTGTAATCATATCCTAACAATGGCACAATAAGCATATAATAGTCATATCCTGATAATGGCATGTCATTCATATCCTGACAATGGTATGACATAGAATGAGTTTAAACTTATTAGCTAGCTCATCCACAAACAAATTACAAAGCCATATGCTGACAATAGTCCCCAGACAATAAACATATAACAGATCATGTATAAGATCATATATATAATATTGTTATGAACATGATTATAATCATTCTAGCATCTATTGCAATTGTTATAACAATTAAAGCAATACTAAACATCATGTAATTAACTTACAACTCATTTAAGTTCCATTACGTCTTATACCACTGCATATTATTATATATTATGCATTCTGGGCAATTACCGAGTTCATTAATTTCATTTAAATCAATTAAAACAGACCTGAACAAAATTTGGAACGTAAAACCATAAAACCCACATTGCAGCCTAAACCTGTAATACCCCCTAATTTTGGAACACAGGTTGATCAAATCCGCGCACAAAATTAAGGGATAACAAAATAATTAAAGTATTTCAAACAAGCACATATTACAAAATGAAACAAAGAATAAATAATACGATGAAGAAAACTAATAAATAATAATTTCTAGTAATAACTCTCCAATAGTTACAACTCGGGAATCCCGTAACTCAAGGACCCCTTAACCAAAATCCACTATCCAGAAATTCATCAATAAATACTGAAGTAATAATATCATACTTTGAAATAAAATAGAAAGAATGGATAAGTCCTCCAATTGCGGATCCTCAACCTTGAGACTTGGACCATCTAATAATCTGAAAAATAAATCGTGAGTTGACCCACAAGCAAGCTGTCTTTACCAGGCCTTTGAAAACCAATAAAAAGATCATCTCTAATCAAAGCCAATCCTAATAAAGTTTTTTTTATCTTTAATATACAATGATATACATATATATAATTAATTATATATATACTACACTAATCACACCCATTAATAGGTTCATTAAATTTTCAAACCCATTAAACAATGATTAAATTAATAATCATTTAAAAATAAAATAAAAATAATTAATTCCAATTAATAAATCCTTTAAAATATCGGGGTATTACAAAACCAGTCGACTGGGTTCCAATCCAGCCAGCTAATTCTCCAATTCAGTCAGCTGAGTTTATAATTCAGTTGACTGAGTCCTTCTTCGATCCAGTCGTCTGGGTTTTTAATCCAGTCGGATGAGTCTACAATCTAGTCGAATGAGTTTCCAACTTAGTCGGTTGGTTTTTGCCGGACTTCGTCTTCTGCAGCTCCGACCACTATTTTTCGCGTCGTTCTCCATCATTAAGGGTCCTAAACGTGAATTCTAAGTCCCGTATGATCCCAATAAATTATTTAAAGCTTGGTTGCATGTTTAGAACAAGTTTAGCATTAATTAATTCATAAAATCATACAAAGCATGTAAATATATATATACAAATATATATTCTTCTGTTCTAGTCCGTTTTAACATGTAAACAGGTTCATTCTTTCTATTTTAAAACCCTAAAGTTGTTCTAAGAATGTATATAACGCGAAGTCAAAGGAGAAGAGTAGAACAAGAACTTGTCTTACGAGTTTCGAACTGAAAACCAAAATCCTTCTTTTCTGATCTATTCCTCCTACGCCTGCAGCCTTCAGGTTGCTGTCGTGTTCTTTGATGGTCCTGGTCTACACCATGAACAACCCCTCTCCGCTTCCTCCTTGGTTCGGCCTCTCCTTCTTGGCCTCACGATCTCTCTCTTCAAAACTCACGACCATCTCTCTCTGCCTCTGCTATCACCCTCTATAACTCATGGTTTCTAACCCTGGCCCATACTACACACACACACACACACACACACATATACATATATATATTACATACATTACAACCCTAATCCCTAATTCACGTATAACTAAGAAAATAAAAAATAAAAAATGATAATAATAATAATAATAATGATAATAAACATTATATATATATAACTCATCCCATGGGTTTATACTCCATACCCAACTAGGCTTCCTTACAAGTGGTCCAAGACCCATTTAGTTAGTCCAAACCCTTGGCCAATACTTAACTTAAAAGAAAATAAAATAAAATAAAAACAAAAAAACATTTAACCAACAATTGAAACACTTAATAACACATTTAAAAGAGAAAACAATTTACCAATAAATAATTAATCACATTATAATTCACAATAAACATTTAAACACATAAACACGTACATAGCCATGCAATAAAGTAAAATGTAATAAAATAAATAATTAAATGCTTTAAAAATTAGAGGTATTACACTCACTATATAAATTTGCTCCTACAAATTTAAAGGCTGCCCCCCTCACAAAATTTTCTCAATCCGTTAGAGTTCTTCTGTTGAATGTGTCCCATCCCATGATCCCATCTATACCAAAATCACCTTTTTAATGAGTGCTAACCAAATAATTAAACAACATTTAACAATAAATGAGGATTACTTTTCATTCAATGAAATTGCATTTTTACAAGGTCTGAAAAGTTTTATTTTTTACATGCACGCCACAGGCCACCCTAGAAAAATAACCAAATTTACTCTTTATACCATTAACCAATACTAGGGACTGCAATGTTAATTCTTGATGATATTGAGAATGATTAAGATGAAAATGAAGCCGATGAAGAAGAGTTGTGACAAAATTGAATGATATTCTCATCCATTCTTTAAAGAACAAAGTGGCCAAACAAGTTCTAGATTGCTTTTTTGTCT